GAAAGTAACTGAATTTTGTGTTGTTCAGTACTGTATACTAAACTGTTTATAGCAGGAAAGACAAATATTGACACTACCTATCTAACAGAAATTTGTATTAAGTTATTGTAGGGCACTGTATTACAATAGAGAAAAACAATATGATTTAGCAAAACTGCTTTTCACCTGGGCTCAAATGTCGCCACCAACTTCATGTTGGCTGAACCACAGAACGTGGTTGGCTTATTTCTGCCCTCAGTATAATGTTACGCTACATTCTATCTCATCCATGTTAAGCTCTGAAAAGCCTCTCAAGTTCTCAGGGTGCACAGTTTAAGAGGAAGATCTTTACAGGGGCTTAGGAATACCAAAGTTATGATGTCCAGTACTTATGAACAAGCTCCAAAAGACATTCTTGAGAAAATATGTATTTTATGAATGCCAGTCTGCAGTTGTGAACATGTAATATTTATTTGATAAATGACTCACTCGCAAGATGAAACTCCATAAACACAGTTTGCTCATAAGTTGGGACCTTTGTGTGCTACATAAGAAATGGGATGTCATGTTGCGCTGAAAGGCTGGAGAAGACACACATGAGATCATTAAATTTTTTGTTGTGTGTACTATTATCATAAGGCCAAAATTAGTCAGTGCCCGATTGGTGGCTCCTGTTGCTTATTCTAGATTCTCGAATCTTTTTCTTCACCAAATTGCCAACTTCCCACAAAGGTAGTGTGACTCAAAGAAGGTAAGACATTCATTACCACTCATTCAGTAGGTGCCTTGCCAGAAGAGAAGAACATCACAAATCAGATGGCTCTCTGGACTGCAAAATCTCCAACTCGTACTTCAGAGTGCAGGCTCTGTAACTCCCATTTTCAGAACTTTGAGTTCAACTAACCAGTTTCCCTGTATTCCTTCATAAATGTTACCTTGCTTATTCTCCAACAGCACATCAAATCTCAAGAAGCAATTGACTCCACTAACTCCTATCTAACAGCCTCACACATGCCTGGAATATGTTTAACATTTATTTGTTAATTTACTTGTACGCTTTATATTTTTTTTTTCCTGCCAGGATCGTGATGTGGAAGAAGGTGCGGATATGCTGATGGTAAAACCTGGCTTAGCCTATCTTGATGTTGTGCGTCAAACTAAGGATAGATATCCTCATTATCCGCTGTTCATCTACCAGGTAATTGGATTATATTATGCATTCATTAATATCTTTATATGTTCTTTTAGAATTGTGCATGTACAAGCCGTTCAGGAAAGAGGCTCCTTGTGTGCAGGCTACCATATGTGCGCAGATGCTGTATAATAGAACCCTCGTATCCACTGATTCAGTATCTGTGGTTTCAGTTAATTATGGTTTATTGTGACCCAAAAATACATCTTACTTTTGCATAATAATGGCCCCAAAGCACAAAAGTAGAAAAGCTGGCAGTTCTTCAATGCCTAAGAGAAGCTTTGAAGTGCTTCCCATCAGTGAAAAAGTGATAATTCTCCACTTACTGTGCATAATTTTTTCAAACTTTATAATACGTATGTATAAGGCTTAGATATAGGGCTGGCTGCTATCCACGGTTTTGGTATCCATGGCAGGTCCTTGGAATGTATCCCTCGCAGATACGCAGAGGTCCTGCTGTATATGCTCTTAGATCAGGGGCTTGGACTTCCAGCAAGTGTGCGTGAGCATATTAGACAGGACTGAATTGAGACAAATGATTTTTGGGACCTGACAAGCTGTTGGAGTGTGAGCAGGGTAATATTTTGTGAAGGGATTCAGGGAAACCGGTTAGTCGGACTTGAGTCCTGGAAATGTTAAGTAGAATGCCTGCACTTTAAAGGAGAAGTTTGGGATATTGGCAGTTTGGAGAGACATCTAAACTGTCATATCTGAGCGCCTCTGCAAAGACAGTGATTATGTATGAGTGATGGTGAAAGTGGAAATAAATGGTGAAAGTGTTGAATGATGATGAAAGTTTTTTCTTTCTTTTTGTGTTTTTCTTTCTCTTTGGGTCACCCTACCTCAGTGGGAAACAGCTGATGTGTAAAAAAAAAGTATTACTACTATTACATCAGTATTACTACTATTACATCAGTATTATTACTATTACATAAGTATTAATACTATTTCATCAGTATTACTACTATTGCTTTTATTCCACTGTATCATTATTTTATTAAAATATTATTACTGATTGATGCAGTGAGCAACAATCATGTGACCAGATCTTACCTGCTAATATCTTGTGTTAAACTCACAAGATGAAACAGCTCAACAATCATGTATTGTATGTTGAGTATTTTTATTCTTAGTTCAGATCTGCCTGAAATGTTATGCACATGATGAACTTCTCTCAAAATCATTCTCAGTAATACAGTAGGACCCCGCTTTACGGCATTTGGCTTTACTGCGTTCCACTAATATGGACATCTCAAATTATGATCAAAACTCGGTATACGGGTCCCCCCACCTAACTTTCTAATGCGGTCACCATGCCCCACCTGGTTTGTTTACATTCTCCATGAGCTCCATGACTCTCCATTATGTCTGGAAACTTTCCAAAATTTCAAGTGTTTTAAAGTTGTCATATTCTATATATTTTTTTTTTTTTTTTTAAACAAGTCGGCCGTCTCCCACCCAGGCAGGGTGACCCAAAAAAGAAAGAAAATCCCCAAAAAGATAATACTTTCATCATCATTCAACACTTTCACCTCACTCACACGTAATCACTGTTTTTGCAGAGGTGCTCAGAACACAACAGTTTAGAAGCATATACGTATAAAGATACACAACATATCCCTCCAAACTGCTAATATCTCGAACCCCTCCTTTAGAGTGCAGGCATTGTACTTCCCATTTCCAGGACTCATGTCCGGCTATATAAAAATAACCGGTTTCCCTGAATCCCTTCACTAAATATTACCCTGCTCACACTCCAACAGATCGTAAGGTCCCAAATACAATTCGTCTCCATTCACTCCTTATCTAACACGCTCACGCACACTTGCTGGAAGTCCAAGCCCCTCGCCCACAAAAAAACCCCCCTTTCCCC